CTAGAAACAGAGTTGGACTCAAAGTAGACCTTAATTGTAAAGAAAAGAAACATTCTGCTTCAGAAAGAAATAAAAAGATACAGAAACTATCTAACCTTTTACTTTGTTAGAGAAAGCTTGGATTTATTAATCTTTTCCTTAACCACATCAAGGTGATTTGGCCTCAGACATCCTTTAGCAGTAGTGGGGCAACTGTTGGTCTATGCTAGTTTCTCTGAACATTGGCCTAGTTATCACACATGACTTCTTATATGACCTCCTCATCAAGATGAGGAACTACCACTGCATTTGCACTCAAGAGAAGCATTATGTGAAGTACAGAATCAATACTGCAGTTTATAGCAGTAGCAACTTTACACAAATAAGGGCTTTGCTTGGCCACAAAGTATTTGATGCTTTGATTTCCCATGGTACCTTCAAAAAAAAAAAAAAAAAAGGTAGCTAAAATGCATCCTTATTCACATGTTTGAGTAGGATATAAGTACACCCTGAGAAGTACTGACAGGCATTTCATCAGGATCAGAGCAATGAGAATTAGTTTGATTATTTTCAAATCTTATCCAAATAGTATAAGCTTGCTGATTTGTATCATATCCTTTTGAATACTCCTTAAGAACAGAAACACATTGAGGAAATAAGTTATACCTTGTTCTTTGCTCTTGGCCAGGGGGGAGAGCCTACCATGTATTTGGCTGGTAAATTTGGGTTTAGCACCACTTCTAATCCAATACTCTTCAGGTGGTATCCCCATGTTCTCCCTTAACAGCCTTCCTAATAAAAAAAAATTTGATTTAAGGTCAATATTTAGTTTTGCTCATGTTAATATACTGTTTGATCCACACATCAGAATGCAAAGCTAGCTACTGAATCTAATAAGGCTATGAAAATAAAATCATAGTTTTCTGGAGACCACACTTGACAAAAATTACAAGCTGCTTTAAGTCTACAGATTTTGTACCAAAAAAATAAAGTTTAAGAACACTAAGCCTGTTATTAGATCACCCTGTTTTAGATGTCTTCCACAGTACAAGACAGTACTAAGAATCAGACACCTACTGAAGCACCCACATAACCTGTTATGAGCTGATAACTCTGCTTATTCTCATTTTAGATTAAGCCAATTTCTACTAATATCTACCTTTGAGTAAATAAAGTGTTCTTTTCTAGATCAAATTTAATACCATTTCACACTGATTTTATGAAACTCACAAATGTTTTGTTGCTTACAGTAAGAGAGCAGCAGCTACAATATAAATAAAAATTAATGGTTTGACTCCTCTTCTTCAGAAAAGTGCAGGGTAGGGCCACCAGATTACAGTAAAGTTAATCCTGTTTAATTCACCTAACACAGGCCTAGGATGGGAGAGTCAGAATGTTTGTATGAATTTAATTGTCAAGTTTCCATAATATTATTAAACAATGGTAAATGTAGTTCAAACAACCTTAATATTTTCAAATGAATAAATTACCACTAATTTCAGAAGGGTAAGTATATAAAATCTAACTCAAAAGAGAGTTTCTGCAAAATCCTCTCCTTGTTGTGATGGTGCAAAATCCTCATGCAATGGGTAAAAAATGGCAGCAAAAAAATATTCTGTAGTACTTCTGGCTCTAAGCCAAACATGAATCTACAACATTCTACAATCTTCCCAGTAGTTCAAACTACAATTTGCAACTGCACTTAGGTGTTCTTTGTGAGTTCTATTAAGCAGCACTTTGTCCTCAGCAATAAGCTTACCTCCCAAGAATTTCCGTAGCATTCGCTGGTGTTCAAGTTCTTCTCTTCTTGCTGTAGGCCTCTTTCTTCCATAATACCCACAGTCATCATATGCAGCTTCATCTTTTTCTTTCTGCTTTGGCTTGTAAGCTATACCAATGTTTTCACCAAGGCCACTCCTAGTTTTTATTTTCTCTTGAGCAGGCCAGCTAATTAATTGAGCTGGTACAGCATTTTTAGCTGGTTTCCAAAACACTCTCTGGCCAACTTGGTAGAAACCTCCTTTGCTAGGTGTCAAGATTCCATATGGAATGGCTTCTGGAAAGAAATATTCTATTTCATCCATGTCATCCACATCTTCCTCATCCTCTCCATCTTCCTCCTCTCCCCTCACAGAGTATTCTTCAGAGTCCTCAACTTCTGACAAACTCTTAACTGCTTTTTTCTTGAGAGAATTGATTTTTTTCCAACTAGAAGATCTACAAAGGGCTCCCAGCTTTCTACCTTTATTGGAAGCCTCTGTGATCTTCATGGTTGAAGAGTTTTTGACATCTTGGTCATTCAAGCTGTTCGTCTGCTCCCTTCCTACCACTTCATCTTCATTGAGGGACCCACCACTTTTAATTTTCTCTAAGCCCTCTGTACTTTTCTGGAAAGTATACGTGCTTTTCTGAAGCACATAGTCAGGGACAAAATAAGACACTGGGGCATTATCAATTGATGAGCCTTCTTCTCTAGAGGACATGTCATCAGAAGAAAGACTGAGTACACTTTGACGTTTCCTTTGTGACAAAGAAACATCATAGGTGCAGTTTGTGTCCATACTGTCCAAACAAGCCAGCCAACTGTTAGAGGGAACATACTTCTCAATTGATTCATCACACCAAATACTCTTATCCGCTTGACTTTCATTGGTTGCGCTGTGGCTTAGATTCAGCTTTTTCTGCTGAAAACTCAAGTCACTCATTACCTCCATACTAGATGGAAGTAGTCCTGCTTGTTGAATAAAGCTCAGCTCTTCTTGAGAAGTTTTTGAGACTGTAGATTTTTTAGAGCTTGATTTCTTAGCCACTGCCACATCTTGTTTTACCACTGGTTGGTCTACACTAGCAGCTCTCGGCAACTCTGCTATTTGCACTGCCATGGTTTCACCCAGGGGGGATTTTGCCTGTTGAGTTGTATTCATCTGCTTTTCTGCATCCAGTTTGGCTTCACTATTTTGGACCTTTTTTTCTTGCCCAGTTTCAACACCCTGTTTTGAGGTGAGACCACCTTTTCTATCATCTAGGTAAGCTCCTGGCACGACTTTCTCCCCTTCACGAGGGCCATATATCATTCCTTCACATGAGCTAACAGAAAATAAATCACGCTGCACTATATTCTCTGGGACTGGTTTACCACTTGCCACATCATACAAAGGGATAGTTTCTTTAAAGGACTTCCACAGTTGAATAGCTGGAGAGCCATTTCCATATTCTATCCTCACTTCTTCCTTCTCAAAGGCATAGCTTCCAGGAGGAAGATTTCTATACTGTGTAGAGCTGGAAGGGCTCTTGTTATGAAACTCTCTGTCTACTGCAATGGAAGATCCAGATGAATCTTGTTTTTCTGAAGTACTTTCAGTCTCTGTACCTACACCAGAAGAAACACAGGCCATATTTCCTGCATCACAACCTTTCGTTTCTGTACGGCTATCTTGATCCTTTTTCTGCTTGTTTTCAGGCTGTCTAGGATCAGTCTGTGTTTCTTTTGTCTCCATTTTTCTCCCAGGGCTACTATAGTGTCTAAATCTTGTTGCATGATAAAACATAGGGGAAGGTGGGGGAGCATTAAAATAAGGCCTTCTGTTAATTCTTGCATGCATCGGATGTTGCGGAACAAAAAACCCAGGATAGTCATGAAGCGCAACAGAATAACATGGAAAATATGGATTTCCACTTCGGAAGCCTAGACATTGGGGATAAAAAAAAGACAAATAAGTCTTCTTTCTGAAATAAGTCATTCTCATTAATAATTGCTTGCATACGTAGGGACAGCAACAAGATCAGACACACAGCTAAGTCAGACACTCCACCTGTCAATGCTTGGAAGCAAATATGGTGCAGAAACCTAAAAAGAATTCCTTGCTATAGAACAGCTTATCTGGAGAGCTACACTTTAACCACAGCTTAATTTTATTCTTTGGAACATATACCAATTAGCAAAAAAAAAAGTACAGAAAGCTATTTTATGAACTATGCTAGAGGATTGTCTTTGAAAAAAACAGCACAACATAAATGGTATACCTATGTTAACTTCTAACAATATTGTTTCTGTCTGGATTTTTAAGTTTACATTCATCCATACCTATAATGCATGCCTGGAACTCATATATATACACACACACATATTAATTGTTAGGCATATTCTAAAGCTCTGTGTCTGCAGGATAATCATTACTTAACATTTTGCTTACTTTCCATTCTCCAGAAACAGATGCTTTCCAGCATACAAGCTACAAATTTAACTAACACTTCCTCAATCAGATCTCTGACAACCAAAACACTACCTTAGTTCTACCTTAAGCTCCCAAGCAGCTTGTTAACACAGATACACATTTATTTCCTCCAATCTAGCAGTAATTTACTAAGCAAAGCTACAACAACCAGCTCTCATTTACCTTACCTGGAGCAGGTACACAATACGGACTGTAAGCATGACTGAAGTACCATGGATTTGGAAAAGGCTGTTGTGCTGTTGGCTGTGCATAAAAAAAGGGTCTGGTGTGGTTTGTGGAATATGATCCACTTTCTGAAGTTGAGGCAGTATTCATTTTTTTTTCCAGTACTGAAAGAGATAGATGATCAGGATTAACCACTTTAAAAGCTGTATGACTTAATGACTTTTATGCTCTGTCAGAATTCAGCAGACATTCATCTCCCAGCCCAATGAAACCAGATCTTTCTAGAAGAAAACTACTGTCTTTCAAACAGCAAGTAAAAAACTGACATTACTATCAAGGTCAAAGATTTTAGTTCTCCTTTGCTAAACAAGCTTTTACCTTGCAGCTCTCAATATTAGTATTTCAAGTCAGTCACATAACACATTCTAAATCCACAGGACAAGTAACTTTAGGGTGGTCTTATATACACACACCTATACAAGTAGTATTCCAGCCAATTAAAAACTAGCCTTCAGCAACAGACCTCAAAAAAACCCCCAAATCAAACAGTAGAAGTAACAAAAAGCCGCAAAATCCTTATGCATAAGTTCATATTCAAAGCTATACAACATTCACAGGACAGAGCTTTCTCCCACACTTACACATTTCCTCAGTTAACTAATACACTAAACTCAGTCCGTTCTAACCCATGCAAGTGATACAACCCTGTCACACATAGCTCATATACAAGAACAAAAGAAGTCAGAGAAGACAGAAGATCTAGTGACCACACAGGAAAAAAAGACTGTGGCTCAACTCTTCAGAAAACTTAAACACTTCGTAGTTACATAAAAAAAATTGAGCTCAAGACCTGTGGTAAACTAGCACACAGTTCAGCTTAGAGCTTCAGAAAACTTTCAGGAATACTGGAACCCTCTTCAGTTTCTATCTAGAATGGCCCATCCAACTCTTGCAAGCACCAAAAAGCCTACAGACTCCCCTCACTCTCCTAGGTCAAAGCTCCCAGAATTATTATAACCTTTGAGAGAGAGCAATATAGTGAAGCAGAAAGAAAGAAAAAAAAAAAAACCAGCCCTACAAAAAACAAAGCTATTTCTGGCCCATTAGGGCCCCTCAAAATTAATGTCCATACTGCTGCTGCTGTTCACAGCCCAGCAAGAAACTACCCAAGTCCTCAGCTCACCGTCTTTATGGCAGGCAGCTGCTGCTTGTCCACTCCCCCTTCCACCTGAGGCTCATTTCCCAGGGACGTGGGGCCCTTTTTCCATCAATGCGTGGGAGAGAGAATCAAAACATGAAGATAGGAAGAGCAGTGAAAGCCTTCAGCTGGTTGTACAGAAAGCTGCTGTCTCCTCTTGCAGACTTTTAAGCTGCATGTCTAAGAGAATCCAGTATTTCCCTTCTGTAACATTAGAGCTTATGTTTAAAAAAAGTGAGGGGTTCAAGGCCAGGCTGGATGAGGCTTTGAGCAAGCTGGGCTAGTGGGAGGTGTCCCTGCCCATGGCAGGGGGTTGGAACTGGATGATCTTTAAGGTCCTTTCCAACCCAAACCATTCTGTGATTCTATGATTACCAATCTTCTGTTTAAGACTACTGTTAAAGACATTTTTTGTAGGGGAAAAAAAATCAGACAATACAAGGCAAAGTTTACAGTTGTTTCTGAAGTTCCCCAGTTGGTCAGTGGTGAGTAGAGGGAGCTCTTCCATCCTAGCACAGCTAAGCAAACTGACAGCCGTAATGCTCTTTCCACATGAACAAGGGAAGCGCTTATTCCTGTCCAGTGTACTCACTCTACCATATGTAACAGAAATTTATGAAATGTGAGGTTGTAATTTGGCTCTGCCCTGGGTCTTTACAGGAGATGAGAATCTGAGGGGCCACTTCACGACTTCACATCTCCCAACAACAGAGCACAGAGAGAGAAAAAAGCACAAGGGATGCACTATGCAAGTGGATGAGTGACAAAAAAACCCCAAAGAGGTGTGGATGCTTAGAGACTCTTTACCTTGCCAGCTTGGGAAATTCCTGGGTTGTTTTTTTTTGTTCTATAATGTTCAGATTAAGTTGTCCTTTGCACTCAGGCACAAATTATAAAATACCTAGGAAGGATTACTGATCTCGCTGTACACCAACTTCTCAAACCAAAGCTTTTATTTTTCACTCCGAGCATCTCTTGCGCTTTGTGTGCAGGTCACATGTAATTTGTGTCACTTGTGTCATTTCTTTGGGATGTTTTAAATCTTTAACCCTTGCATGCATCACATTCAGCTTTCACCTTTTTTTTTTTTAAGTTCAATTCCTAGTCTTTGTCTTGGTGGATGGACCCAAAGGGAAATAAAAAATAAAATAAAAAGCACTCCCTGGCTTTTAAAAAGTTGCCTTTCCTCAGGGTTTTCCTCTCCTTTGGGCCAGACTTCAGCCGCCCCCCACCATCCCCGGCCCTGCAGTGGCTCCAGGCCT